GCCGCTCCCACCCCCAAAGAAAAAGCTATACACCAAAAGAGCATGAAAACTCTTGATGTTCAAATTATATAATGTTTTAAAAGAAGAGGTAAATATTTGCATTGCTTAGGGAGAGAAGAGGAAAGAAGAGTACCGTACTTAGTATTTTGTATTGTTTTAATAAAATATGGGGCAAAGTTAAGTAAAGTCTTATTTAATGGAAAGGGTACAATTTGAACTGTTCAGAGAGGGATGGGGAGGGAAGAAAGGATTAATGTGTAAGCTGTTTTGATTTGATTGAAGTTAGTTGATCTTTTTACTTTTGATGTAATAGTTTTGTTTCTCAGACGCACCCACCTTCGTGTTTCAAAGTATGCCACTGCTGTAAATGTGTAAGTCCAAATAAATATTATTATTATTATTATTACTATCAGATAAACATCACAACGGAACAAACCATTTCATGGGAATAATCCTACTAATTAGTGAAAGTTTTTTCTTTTTGTTTTTTTTTTGGTTTTTTTTTTTGTTTCTGATCTCCGCCCCTGGGCTATAATAATAAGTATTAATGTTTTTTTGAAATTACGTTACTCCATTTGTGTTTCTTTAAACCTAACTATTTTATAATAAAGAATAATTACTGAGAAATGTAATACTGTTCTTAGGCCTATTGCTTATAGCAGTATTATAAGAGATGTCTCGAAAATCAGACATCAAATAGAAACTGGACATTTGAATTTTAACTAATATATGACCAACATGTAGAAAATGAGCTCAACTTACAAAAAGAATTTAGTGTTCCTTCTACAGAATCTGAAAAAAAGATTTGATTCTTACCCATAGAGATATAATAAGAATAGCTCTATGTTCTTACCAAACTAATAAAAGTTACATTTTTACAGCATATTTTATTTTCTAGGCCAACTCTTGCGAATAGTATTTTTGGGGTCATATTATATTTGATCAAATGGATTTGAAATATTTACAAAATTACATTAATTATACGTACTATATTAATTTAATAAATTATATAAGTAATTTATTAGCCCCATATTAACATTATTTTAATGATAACTAATTATGTAAATTACTTGTATAGGCCTGTTGGTCCTCCACCAGATTGTTATTACATTATAAATCATATTATATGATGTAAAATGATATCATACATTAAGTACTTACCAACACACCCTACTGGGAAGTCTTTATCCCACTCTTCATTTTCACATGTTACTACGAGTTCCACATCTGATGTACTGGGTATATAGTAATCGTCATCACAAATGAATGATACTGTATTATTTTGCCTTTTGACAATACCATTCCATAATGTCAGTGGAGGAGGTGGGCATGTTGGTTCTTTACCTGATAAGCAAACATGAAAATGAAGTGAGTTATAACTACCATGTGTATAATAATTTAATGCAGTGCGACTTGATTAAGTGCAAAAAAAGAAGAAAAAAAAGTATTTCAAGTACCGTAAACCCTCAAATAGAAGCTCAATGGATTTAATCGAGAACAAGCCCACGTCAAAAAGCCCTTCTTTAATTTGCAAAAGTAATCTCGAAAAGAAACTTATCTTGAAAAGAAGCCAAATGCTGTATAGTAGCAATTCCAAATATTTACAGCATTCATTTTGAAAAGAAACCCCCTCTTTAGTTTGCAAAAGTAATCTCAAAAGGAAGTCCACTTCGAAAAAATTCCCATCTCGAAAAGACAATTCAATGATCCTAAAAAAACAAAGAAGCCCAGCTTCTATTCAAGTTTTTACGGTACCCTGCCTATATATACAACTCTTATTGTAACCATGCAACTAATGATGAAATCTAGTGTGTACAAACTGCAGGGGTATTCTTTCATCCCAACACACTTCTTTTCTCTTTAAGGGCGTTGGGACCACTGATCTCTACTGATCATTTTCTAATTTTGGCGCATAATATTATTTTTATTGTTATTAAAATAGTTGGAAAGAACTTTGAATGGACCTGTCCGGCATGACAATCAAACTTACTAACTGACCAATCAAAACAGGGCCAGCCATACGCACAGTGTTCTACTTCTACAGCGCTGCATATCTTTTTACGCTATCGTTTTGCGGGACCATAGCAATAATATCCAATGAGCGAGTCTTAGTGGAAAGGTCCGCTGCTGTATACATCAGTAGTAAAAGTTCTAGTAAAAAGGGCTGTTATTACTGATCAGACATAGGTTGTATTGTCCTACATACATGATGATGGGAATGGATGATCCCATTCTCCATCAACGCAACGAATGGTGGTCGTGGTATCGTTAGTTCCTGCGACAAAGGCGTCTTTATTACAGATTATTTTCACGGATGTTCCATTTGTGTCATCTTTTATTACAAAGCCATTTTCAATCTTTACAGGCACATCTTCACATTTAGTTGCTATAAAAATAAATTAAGAACAATGTTTATAAAAGGGAGATTATGTAAATACAAAGAATACGTATTATTATTATTATTATTATTATTATTATTATTATTATTATTATTATTATTATTATTATTATTATTATTATTATTATTATATTTTTCCTTATTTTTTTGACAAAATCTGTATATTTTTAATTTCTGCCACTGCCGTGTTTATTTTCGCGTTCATTAACACCTTGTACCTACAACTGTGCCTTGTAAACAATGCCGTAGACAGGATTTTCAAACAGTGCGGGAGAATATCAGGGTGACTCACTTTACGCGTAAATAATGTGAACCCATTTTACGTAGAAATATGAAAAATCTGGACCCATTTTCTTAAAAGTTTACACACTATAGGCTAAATATGAGAAATATGAACCCATTTTTCAAAAGTGGACTCATTTATGCATAAAACTGCATAATTTGGACCCATTTTTAAAATGTGGACCCATTCTTTGTGGACCCATTAGAAAATTGTGTGAGACTGTCTCAATAGCTGGCTACGGCATTGCTTGTAACAGTTAGTAATAAAATAAATACAAATATGAGTATGAATGTTCTAATCATTCAATCAATTCAAAACATAGGCCTACGTTTTGACCATTTGTAAACAAACTGACAGAAAATATGAAATGCACCGTAATTGTTATCTTCATCAGAATCCCATCTACTTTAATGCTTTGATATTGCTGGAATAATGTACAACATTTACACAATCAGATGAAGACAAAT